AAACATGTTTCATTCCTGCACACGCTGCTCGAGCCTTGGAAATGCGGGTGGTTAACTCCTTTGCTGGGTTGCCCACACAGGTCAAGCAAACATCTAGGAAGCAAACCAATCGACTATAAAACATCCCTGACCATTTATATTCAAAGCGAGACTGAGCGACACCCAGTCTTCCAGCATCACTTTGAAACATGAAGGTGCAAAGCACATACCGAATGCGGCAACATTACTTGTTAGTCGATCAACTGAACCTTGCACGTTCTTCATATATTTGGACAGATAGAGTAGGTAGGCAGTTTCTCAATGGTACAGCTGTTCTTCAGCTACCCATTCAACACGCACATTCGTGAGACCACTTACTACATCTTACAGCAATTTTTCTACGCCGAACAAAAACAGGAATGGCGAAGTAGGTCACCCATGACGAAACACCGTTGCGGGTGACCACCGACCTACATAGATACTTAAAAAACACAAAACGAACAGGGGCATCAGTAAGTCTAGTCCAGTGCGTGTGAATAAAATAAGTCAGGAGAAACTGCACTAATTCCAACGGTGCAATTTATAATGTGAGTCATCACACACAAGAAAAATTACAGAACACACTAACCTGATCTCAATCGAACCCATCACTATTCGAATGGAAGCGATGGACAATTTCACCAATAAACATTGTTCGATTCGGTCCTCTTTGAGCCACACCCTTTGCACGAACTCACGCAACTAGAGAAAACAGCATCGGCCAATCGCCCGAGTGACTCACCTTAGTGACCTACCTGTTCACAGAAGAAAGCAAAACGATTCAATTGTCCATCAAAATTAAATTAGGAGATTATATTCTATCCCATTCTCAAATGCCGTATCACAAGAACGATCATGAAAACACTTCTGACAGACGAGTGAAATTGCAGAAAAGTAGAAACTGCGTTTTATGTCTTTGTTGTTGTTGTTGTTTTTCTGGTTGATTTGTCCAATGTGTGCTCGGGTGTTTTCCCCGAGGATTATGATTCTCTTCTGCCTCATGTCCCTATACAAAAGTTGGTGCTGTGCGCTCATTACAATTTGTAAATTGCTTTGACCGAGCAGTCTCGTTTGTGTATACGGACATGAGTCACGCAACCTGGGCGTAAGCACGGCTGTCATGGATACCGACCGCGCTGGTCACATTCACTGCGGCATGGAATCAGTGTGTGACACGACGGTTCAGACCTATCGTCCAATGAGAACGCTGATAGCCGGTTACAGATTAGTTTGGTTCATCATTTTGGGGAGCATAAAAGTGTCGAATGAGCAGCGATACACTCGGTTCCTTCAATTGATTCACAACCACTGTAAACTTTCCTCCGCGAAGAAACACATGCAGCTTGTTATCTACCTATGCTGCTCCCTCAGAAACTGTTTTCTTCCACTAATTGACCACCTGAAGTCACTTCTATTCGTCGTGAGTAATACGATATGACTGTGTGTCGCACCAGAATCATATTAGCATCAGTTGATGTTTATTGAAACCTTGAGGTATGAACACAAAATCGGTTTCACTGATGAAGTTAGTAGCTTAACAAATGAACATTTATAAACGTACGCACGAAAAATAACTGACAAAAGTAAACTGGAGGGAACTGAAAATAGGTTGGTTGTTTTCCAGTCGCATGTATCCAACAGAGCCCCCAACATAGTCAAGCGTCGTTCGTTTTGAGGTCCTTCCTTCATCCGCCAAATGTTTAAGGATTCAACAAAAACCATAGTTGAGCCATGCACCTATGGAATCGCTACCTTTTCAGACCACATATTTACTACCCCAGCAGTCATCATTGATAAAACCTGCCCAGTGTCGGACCTCGCTATAAACGCCCTGTCACTTGAAGCACCCACAAAACCAGAAATGTTTTTATAAACCGTGAAACGAAAATAAGCGCATTATCACCGACTGAGGGATTTCCATTCGAAGTAAAGTGATAAAGGCGTGTCTGTCGCAATAACCGCTGAACAGAGAAAGCCTTGATGGAGGGCCGAGTAACCGGCATGGAGCCTTTGCTTATGTACATGTGAGGAAATATTTTAGTCTTTTAAGTCAAACGCTCCCAATATTGTGATCCAGTCTAGCGCAGCGGTTTCTCTTATGAAATCGAACTTTGTACTATGATACAAGGTGCCACGTCCTACAGTTCTACCATTCTTTTCGTGTCTCCTTTTACGTATCTAGCTTGGATCCTAAAAGTATTGGTCCATGATGAGTCATATTTTGAGTTGATAACTGGTATTTGTCAGGTACACTGTTTAGTAACGTCTGTGCTTCGTTCTAACGAGCTCAGCATTCATCTGCAGTTTAGGTTCAGTTTTGGTCGAACATTTATACACACACACATATATATATATATGTATTGTATGTATTGTACACAAAAATATACAGTCAACATCCAGGAAGGGGGGTCGCGGCCTTACAAAGGCTGCCAGAAAAGCACAGATTTAGGGAAGATGGGTGGCGGTGGAACGGTTCGAACCCGGGACTCCCAG